AAATCAGATATCCCTAAAATAAAAAGTAAATCACAAATACTGAAAATTAAAGTATTATTCCATCCGTACTTACCCCTACATATAATGGATTCTAATTTATTATTGAATATTACATTTTCATGTTTGAGAATTGAAAATAAGTGTATTGTTTTTTTTCTTTGCTTTATGACGAGAGCAAGTGTGACTTAAATGTTACAAATATAACATAAAAGATCATATAAGCATCTAATACCAAAAATATATTATTGATTGGTTAAATGTCAATTACCAAAATTATTTATTATCGGTCAAATGTTAGTTCTTGCTGCAGATCATGCCATGCAGACACAAGGAACATTTCGGCTGGTATCCTTGGGACTATGGGCCTGCGGAAGGTAGGTCCGACCCAAACAAATTTTGGTTAATTTGGATACTTTCGTTATTTCACTTAGTTTGATTTGAAATTTAGTTAGATCCATTTGGGTTTTTCGTATGGTTTACATATAAGTTTTAAGTTCTTATAAAAAATCTAAAGTAATTGATTGCCGAACACAAGAAGAAACTGATTACTTTTAGAAAACCTACCGAATCAAACCAAACTTCTAGCCAAACTAACCAAAAATTTCGATTCAGTTCACTTTGGCAGTTAGAGTTTGGTTCAAAATCTCAGTCTTCTATCAGCAAAAGCAAAAAAAAAATTGGAATTTTGGATCTTTAGTAAAAAAACATAAAAGTGGACTTTGATCTTCTTCATACTGTATTTTAAGAAATTTATGATGTCAAGTTAGATGGACTTATAACATAAAGCTAATTAGTGATAAAAGAATCTAATACAATGTTCTTAATACTCTCTTTCAATATAATGACTCTTAGGATATTACTATTGAAATGTTTTCACAAGGACTGATAAACCAACTTCGCACCCGATGTATTATAAGTTGGATTGAACTGTGTAAATCAGATTTTGATACCATGTTAAGTTAAATTCACTTCAAATCTAAAATCAACTGATAATAATCTGTGACGGACTGAGCTTACGATGAGTGAGGTTACCTGTCCGTCTAAAATTTTTTTTTCACTTCTAAATGGTGAATATGTTGTTGGGTAGAATCTGTAGAGTAGGCTGCCATAAGCTGAGTGACTTCTCTTACATGTTTCATATACCTCATGATTCAAACTCGGCAATGCGTAAATCAAAGAGATGTATGGCATGTTGATGCCTATTTGTTGGTTGTTTCGTCGTGGAAATCAGTTGACTCATTAAAAGTCCCTAAGGTATCACTAATCTTAGTGTGGGTAAATCTTAAAACTGTTCTACTTAATCTACTGCTGCTGCATATAATCAATCTACTGCTGCATATAATCAATCTGTGTTACCAGCTGAAAAATTTGGAGTCAAATTTGGTCTTAGCTGAAGAAGCACGAGAGGAACTTATTGAACGAAAACCTACTAAATAAAATGGTATTGCAAAATTTGTAATCACAACTTACAAATGTTAGTTCTTTTCACTTCATCACCATTAGCAGACACATAATCAACCCCAACTAAAAGTACTATTATGGAAGAAATCATATTCCCTGTCATAGTCCTTGAGGACAACTTGATTTCAAAGGAAAATTCATAGGTCCCTCCATACTCTCTTCCACATGGCAGGGCTCATGCCATTCAAATTGCTTGTAATGAGTAAGATGATGAAAGATGGTATATGAATGATGTTAGAGCGAACCTCAACATGTCATGTGGTGGAAGGCCAATAAAACCACTCCAAAAATTGTAAGATATAAAAGGGAAAACGGCCAGAAAAAAAGATAAAAAGGATTGTCGAGGCCGCAGAAATGACCTTCCATCTTCCTAGTAGTTTCATCCTTCTCTTGTTTCTTTAAGCTAATGCATCATAAGTCTTCTCTGTTGTATGCTAATGCTTAGTTAAATATGAAGTATGTTCCATCGTACTTTCTCAAACTTCAATGTTGTTTCAACCATACATTATATATTTTTAGTATTTTAATTTAAAATCTTGTAAATAAATCCTTGTCTTTGTTAAATCCTAGATCCGGGAAAGGATAGTTGGAATCTTTAAACAAGTAATCGATGGATTGAGAAAAGGGCCAAAGGTTTCGTTTATTGAAGTGTGTGTGTGAATAAAACCGAAGAGGAAAAGTACAAAGAAGAACTCATCATCAGTGACGAGTCAAGGATTTTATCTCTCTTTCTTTCTTTCTTTCTTTCTTTCTTTCTTTCTTTCTTTCTCTCTCTAGTCTTTTTCTGCTTGCTCCTCTCTCCCCTTGCCGAATGCTTTCCTCCTTATTTATAGATTGGAGTTGTGTATTTGAAGGTTCGCCATTATGGCCTTCTGATCATCTACAGTAATCGGCGGGTCGTCAGGGGAGTAGGTTCGGCGGTATGGCTGAAATGATGGCTTCCCGCTGCTCTGGTGTCGTATGTCAGTCTTCAGCAGGAGAGCTGGTGAGACGTCGCATCTGGAACGGCGTGGGTCTTTGTGTTTGGGCCTTTCTTCATCCAGGTGATCAGGCCACGGGAGTCTCCTGGGCCGAGTCAAATTCTGCGCCATGGTCCTTTGATCTGGCCCATATCCAACAATAGCCCCCCCTTTTTGTCCTTTCGGCTTCTACCGAAGGGCATCTCAAAGTGTCACGAAGGAAGTCGGTTCTGCTAGGTTCCCTGCGCTTTGATGACATGGCGATCCCTGATTGGATGGCGTCTTTGTTTATCGTGAGAAACGTTCAGCAAGGAGTCGCGTCTTTTAAATGCCCGTTATTGTTGCTCTTCTTTCTTTATAAGTTGCTTCATCCTTTGTCTCAAATTTTTCCTTCTCACTTTCTTTGTCCATCTATCTCATAAGCATTCTTTCTTTCTTCAATCTTTTCGCTATGAGGATCGAGTTGAGTCTTTCTTATGCTTCTCTTGATGATCATATGGACTCTCCCCTATCTTCACCTTCTCACGTTAGTGCAAGGGGTTCGGAATCTACAGACGATAACATTCTCATTTCTCGTCGTCCCTTTTCTTGTTGCAGCGGAGGAGGTTCCCTCCTTCGCAGTGTTCGAACTACACCTGTGAGGGAACAAGATTCCGGTCGTGTTTCAGTTCCTCATTTGGTTGATGAGGATGTTGTTGATCTCGATGATGAGGGCGCAGCTGACGCGTTGATATCACTCAAATGTTTAACCCTAAGGAGTGATTTACTCTCTCAAATAAGAGGTTTAATCGTAGTACTTAGGGATCGAATCCACACGGAACTAGAGTCACAAAAGATATAATCCTAAGTGATTAAGCTAGGTTGAAAATGTTTAAAACAATAAATAAAAGTTGGTAGCAAGGGTAAGTTGCTAAGGAAAATAGGTTTTGGGTTTAAAAACAATGAAGAAAGTAGTTAGATTCAAGGTTACTATTCAGAAAATCAGGATTATAAATCTATGGATGTCTTAACGAATTGCTTGCAAATATATGAGAACTTCAATCCTTAGATAAATCTATAGCTGTCGCTATTAGACTCATCCATTGATCTGATTGCCGACAGTATCGATCGATGTTGCTATCGCAGTGTTGATCGATATATGTTGCCGTCGATCGATGACTCTATAGGAGTATCGATCGATATAGCATCAGATCGAATTGAAACTGTGTTCACCTGAGAATTTCTATTAGACCGGCTATCGCTCGTGCCTAATTGAGTCTGGGCTTAGCCAAATGATTTCAGGAAAATGACCATTAGATTAGTCACTCCATAATCATAACTCTAGGTAGCAAATCTAGAGTAAGCATTAGGGTTCATTTGGATAATGAATATAACAACTCAACAATCCATAGTTGGGGCTAATCCCTCATAACTATTTGAACCCCAAATCTAACAAATGAATCTACTCAGACATAGCCAAGAGATTCATAACAAAAGAATAAGATGAAAATAAAATACTTTATTGCTAAGTATAAAATAGAATATAAAACTTTGATAAAAACTCAATACTTTCTTATTTGATCTTATGATTCTCTTCTCTAGGGCTCATGGGCTTCAAGTTGGCCAAGTAAATCTTGCTCATCACGCTCTGTATCGATCGATGGTACATGGTGTACATCGCTCGATGGAGTATCTCGACTTCAACTTCTACGGAATCGTCATCGATCGATTACACAAGGTGTGTATCGATCGATATGTGTCTCTCAATGTCGGATCTTCATAGTCATCTTGTAAAACTCTCCTTTAAGCTCCATAAGGCACCTAAATCATCACTTTACTACAAAATGCTCCTGAGCCTGAAAACATACGTAATAGACTCCAAAACATAGATAATTATTATAAAAACATATCAATACCATGACCAAAAACGGGTCAAAATCATGGTATATCACGCGTCGGTTGAAGAAGTTCCTCTGGCAGGGCTCCCTTTCGTCTTGACACGTGAGACTGTTGATGGGATTGCCAGGACTTGTAGTTTTCCTACTCGGCTGTTGACGCGTGTTCCCAACGCTAATGAGAGATCTTGGACCCCTCCTCCTGGAAGGATGTGTCTGTACGAGGCGTTCTTTACCCATTCCCGCCTTTGGTTCCGTCTTCCTCGTCTCCTTACGTCTTATGCCCCCGCCTGTGACATAGCTTTGACCCAGTTTACTCCAGACGCTATGCGGAATGTGGTCGCCGAGGTGGGTATTGACGTCGATCTTCGCTTCTTTGAGGAGTTGGCAAACATTAGCAGGAATCCGGGGACTCCTCATACTTTTTATGTCAACATCAAGTCTCGCTACGGCATTCTTTGAGGTAGAGTGAACAAGGCACATGATTGGTTTCAGCGTTTTCTTTGTCCGAGTTGACTCGACTTCCGTGGCTGATCCGGATGTGATTCCCAGGAGATCTTAGAATTCTTCGCCCAGTGAGTTTCATACCATATATCCTTCGTCATTCTAGATTGCGCATCTCATTTTTGCGCTCTTTGGGATTTTTCTAGAGCGTCATTCGATTTCTCGTCCACCGCCGGAGGGTTTCTCTGACGGGGTAGAAAGGATGCGAAGGCTAGGCGTTCAGCAGTGGCCTCAGTTTGATCGTGATCGTATTTTCTGCAGTGTCCCGCATATCTTAGCCGGTGCGTTGCTTCTGTTTCACGAATAAGTTTTATGTTTTATCTTTTTTTCTATGGTTTACCTTGTAAATATATATGTTTTAGCCACGTGGGGTTCTTCATCCGATGCTCGCGCGAGTCGTCGGGAAAGGGTTCCGGCTTCTCTGCTGCATCCTTCTTCTTCGTCGCATGGTGCGGTACGCTCCTCTCCGGTTTGTGTTGGAGGGGTTCATCGGGCGATCCCGTATGCAGATGTGTTAAGTGATGTGGTGGCAAGCTCCTCTTTGCGGGGAGGACACAGGGGAATGGCCAAGTCCAACCCCTTGAATTCTAAAGTTGAGCCCGAAAGGGCGGTTGGTGGGTCAGGTGAAGTGAGTCCGGTCGTTCCTCGGGACGAGGGGCCGACAAATGTTGGTGTGCTTCCCACGGGTGGCTTCATGGCTGATGCTATTGGCTCTTCTCTCCATGGGTTAGAGTCTTTGAAGCGGCCTTCTGAGGATGTTTTAGCGGAGGATGCGTCTGGGGAAACCCTTAGGCCCCACGGCGGGCGCCAATTGTTGAACCATAGATCCGGGAAAAGATAGTTGGAATCTTTAAACAAGTAATCGATGGATTGAGAGAAGCACTACAAAAAAACACGCGAAATCTGACGGCCAATATCGTCAGAATTTCGTCGGAATAAGGAAATTTTGACGAAATTCTAACGAAATGAGTCATCGGAAATTTCGACGGACAACTTTCTGACAAAATTCTGGCGGATAATTTCTGACGAAATTCTGACGAACTAATTTCCGACGAAATTCTGACGATCATATTTCCGACGAAATTCCGACGGACTTTATAAATTAATTTTTTAAAAAATGATTTTATTAAATATTTTAATTTATTATATATATTTATAGAAAATTTTAAAATTAGAAAAACGTTTTTGCAATATAATTATTTTTTTAACAATCATATATAATAAATATTTTTTATTCTTTATATATATATATATTTAAAATTACAAAAACATTTTTGTGGTATAATTTTTGTAAATCCTTTATAATAAATGTATTTATAAATTTTTCAAAACATAAAACAGTTTAAAAATTGAAAATATTTTTAAACAAAGAGAAATGTATTTTTAAAAATTTTTATTAACTTTGTGTAATTGAAACCTTTTTCTAACAACTGAAAAAGGTTTTAATAAAATCTAAAAAACAAAAGCATATTAGGTAGAAAAGGCTTTTAAAAAGGTGAAAAAGGTTTTGATAAATTTTAGAAACCAGAAAACGTTTTATAAATTATAACAAACTTGTAAAAAAAAATATGAACCTAAAATGTTTTATAAAAAGCTTAAAACTTTATAAAAACGTTTTGATACAATAATAGATAATAAAAACTTGAAAAAATTATATATATATATATAGATATTAAAACGTTTTATATATCCAATAATTATATATAATATATTACTGGAAACCCCAAAAATGTTTTTAAAAATCAAAAAACGTTTTAAGAAATCAAAAACGTTTAAAAACACACAATATAATTCCAAAAAAAAATTAAAACAACCAACCAAACAAAAATCCTAATTAATATATCCTAAACTATCCATTCAATCCTAAACATACAAATCAAACAACCTCAGATCCTAAGATCTAACTCTCTTAACCCTAAAAAACGAAATAAACAGAGGTTTTTAAGAATCTTACATGCTTTGTGGGTGTGGGGTAGAGATTCGTGATTGGGAAGAGGAATCGCCAGAGTTGGGAGTTGTAGAACCGCCTCTGTAGCCGGAGAAGAGAGAGAACTCGGAGACGCCGGAGAAGAGAGAGAACTCGGAGAGATTAGAGAGAGAGAAAAGAAGAAGAAGGGTTTTTATATTTAATGATTCTGAGAACCCATTCCGTCGGAATTCTGTCGGTAACATTAATTAAATATTAATTGGCGGTTCATGAAATTTTTCATGCGGTTTGTTTTTCCCAGATAAAATGATATTCCGACGGAATTAGTAAAGTCGTCGGTATTCCGTCGGAAACTGGGTTCGTCGGAAAGTCGTCAGTTTTTTCAGACGGATTACTGACGACTTATTCCTACGGAATTCTGACGACTTAGTGTTTAGGGGTTGATTACAAGTTTCTAAAAGCCAAAACCAAATATTTGATAATATATATAGTATTTGCATAAATATTTAGCTATAAAAATGTTTTTATAACATGATTTTACACAAAACATTTTTGTATTGTAAGATTAGATGAATATGATTGTATAAGTATATGAGTGTTAAGATGATATGTTATGAAAACAATGGTGTACATAAATATTTTAGTGAGTTGTTATATTTGAACGGTTACGAGCTAATACTTTAATAAACACTTATTATGTGTTATTTTCATAGTTTCGGTATCCAAATTTATATTTTTTTTTATTACAAAATTTTTAGTTCGTCGGAATGTCCTCGGTATATTCTGAGGAATTTCCGAGGAACTTGTCAACTATGAATAAAACCACAGTTCGTCACTATATCGTCAGTATATAGTGACAGAATACCGACGGATAATATATATAGTATTTGCATAAAGGTTTAACTATAAAAATGTTCTTATAACACAATTTTACACAAAAAAAATTTTGTAGTGTAAGATTAGATGAATATGATTGTATAAGTATATGAGTGTTAAGATGAGATGTTATCAAAACAATCATATATATACATACATAAATATTTTAATGAGTTGTTATATTTGAACGGTTGTGATCAAATACTATACTAAACACTTATTAAGTGTTATTTTCATAATTTCGTATCCAAAATTTATATATATTTTGATTTATTTTTTTTTAAAACATAAGTCCTCAGAAATTCCTTGGAATATACCGAGGACATTCCGACGAACTAAGCAAGGTCATCGGAATGTCTTCGGTATATGCCGAGGAATTTCCGAGGAACTTGTCCACTTTGAATAAAACCACAGTTCGTCACTATATCGTCAGTATATAGTGACGGAATACCGACGGATTCTGACGACATCAACATTTATATATTTTATCAGAAGATCGTCAGAATTTCATCTGTATATGCCGACGAACCACGTTTGATCGGAAAGTCGTCGGAATATTCTGATGAATTTCTGACGAAGTTGTATTTTTTGTTTTCGTCGGAATTCCGTCGGAAAACTGTTAAAATTTTCGGATGACTTTGTTGTCCGTCGGAACGTCCGTCGGAATATAGCGTGTTTTCTTGTAGTGAAGGACCAAAGGTTTCGTTTATTGAAGTGTGTATGTGTGAATAAAACTGAAGAGAAAAAGTACAAAGAAGAACTCGTCGTCGGTGACGAGTCAAGAATTTTATCTCTCTTTAGTCTTTTTTTGCTTGCTCATCTCTCCCTTTGTCGAATTCTTTCCTCCTTATTTATAGATTGGATTTGCGTGGTTGCAGGTTCGCCATTATGACCTTCTGCTCATCTACAGTAATCGGCGGGTCGTCAGGGGAGTAGGTCCAGTGGTATGGCCGAAGTGATGGTTTCCCGCTGCTCTAGTGGCGTGTGTCAATCTTCAGCAGGAGAGCTGGTGAGACGTGCATCTGGAACGGCGTGTCTTTATGTTTGGGCCTTTCATCATCCAGGTGATCGGGCCACGCGAATTTCTTGGACCGAGTCAAGTTCTGGACCATGGATCTTTGATCTGGACCCATATCCAACAGTCTTAATTTTCTTTAAATAATTATCTCAATTTCAAGAAAATGTAGCGTCAAAGGCAAAAAAAACAAAAACAAAATATACTGCCTCCGATTAAAAGTTATCCTAGATCTGCTACTAGTGAAGTGGATTAGTCCATCTTCTTTATATTTTATTTAAGATTCATCCAATTTCTGATGCGTGAAAGTATCCCTAATACACATGTCTTTGAATTATCATATCTATGTCATACCTATTTGCCGTTTGGGCAGACCGCAACATTTGTTGACGGTGCAAGAAGCACTATATATGTTATATCACCGTTTGAGCCGTTGGAGAATACAAGTGTCAAAATCATGTTTCTTTGACTCAAGTATAACTATGTACTCTCAGGTCTGAGACACTCGTATTTAAAACGTAGCTTAGAGCCGTAACAAACTGCCTCCTCGGCTCTTCTCTAATCTAAAGGTCATGTGTGTGTTAATTATGAATGTCAATAGGTATTTTAACGAATATTTAGATAGAGTTCGAAGATTTTCGTACATACATAGCAATTTCAAAAAAAGTGGCATACATCAATCAAGACAGAGAGCTGCTGAATACAACTGAGAATATATCAAGAATGTGATGTCAGTGCAATATATAGCTCTCCTTTCGAGAAAAAAAATTGAGATATAACTCAAAGCATATTTTGCAGTCTTTTTGTTATGATATCTCCCTCGCGATCAGCAATTGACGTTGGGGAAACTCGACAGGCGACTGTCGTCGGTTCATCTGATTGGCATTGATATTTTTATATCGTATAAGAAAAACGATATTTAAAAAAAATAGAGTTTGTCCAAAAAAAAAACGGAGAAAATAAACATTGGCTGCGTCAAAAAAAAAAAATTGGCTGCGTTGTACAGACCCAATGCCCCCAACGTTATCAATTAAGAAAATAAGTGGGGCATTATATGATTAGTTTATATTATTTGCTGCACTGAAGTTTCCCACTATTCGAAACCTAAGAGCATCCCCATTGAGAGTTCAAATGGGGGGTTCACACGGAAACCAAAAAAATAAAATAATAAAATAACAAAAATCTATGAACCTCTCTCTCCTAAAGTTCACCCGGGTGAACCTCTCTCTCCTAAGGTTCAACACGTGTCGATTCGAGATTGGTCTAGATCTTTTTAAAAAAAAAAAATTCAAAAAAAAAATAGAAAAATTTTAATAATAAAAAATTGATTCAATGAACCCCATGAGGGGGTTCATTGATGTGGATGCTCTAAGAATATAATTGAAAGTTTGGATGACAGTATGATATGACATCTTAATTCGATACGAAATCACATGTTAAAATGGCAAAATATAAAGTGTATTTGCCAAGTGAGTGAACTACCTGACAAAGATCAAATATTACAAAAACCTAAAATTTATCCCACTGTATTATCTTATTTATAGTGGCACTCCCACTCTCCTATTTTGTGCATGCATCTTCGAGGCACACACTTAAAGCTTTTATATTTTTTAAAAAAATATACACCTTGTTATGGTGTATAAATACAAGCTAAATCACCATAGCAATACACAATCAATCTACTCATCAACCATTTATTTCATCATCATGGATTGCAAAATCTTTTCGTGTTTGTTTATGACCCACCTAGCAATCTTAAGCCTTTTCTTCAACGACGTCTCCTCATTTCCTTCGGGATATAATAATGGTCCTAAAAATGGTTACAACAATGGTTATAATGGTGGTTATAACAACGGTCACGGTTCTCGCGGATACGGTATGACTAGCAATCTCGACTATCGATTCTATGACCGGTCTTGTCCTCGTCTACAGATGATTGTCAAGTCCGGAGTTTGGCGAGCTTTTAAGGATGATTCTCGAATCGCTGCATCTCTTCTCCGTCTCCACTTCCATGATTGTTTCGTCAATGTAAGTTAGCAACGTTTTCTTTTCATGTTACATATGTAAAGTTGGATTATATATCTCATTCTTACTCTATATATATATATATACACTTAAGCCGTGTATATTTTACACGTAACTTTTATATGGATTTATACGAACATAAATACGGCGTTTTGGTGAAATTCACCTATTAAACTAAAAGGCTGGTCACTCAAGTACTTTATATACATACACGTAAAAGAGAAAACCATTAGACTAAATGGCTAGTTACTTAAGACCCAGTGTATAAGTGTAGTAAACATATTACTTTTTATAATTGTGAAAAATAAGTAATCAAATTGTGTTGTAGGGTTGTGATGGCTCAATTCTCTTAGAGGATTCAGAGGATTTCAAAGGAGAGAAGAACGCTTTGCCAAACCGAAACTCGGTTCGTGGTTTCGATGTCATCGAAGACATCAAATCTGATATTGAAAGTGCTTGTCCCTTAACAGTTTCATGCGCCGATATAGTTGCTCTGGCAGCTAGAGAAGCCGTTGTTATTGTACGTGTGTGATCTTGTAACCGCTAATATTATTCAAAAATTGTATCCAATCAAACATGCTATATCGGTTAAGGTAATTAATTTTATGGCTTCTTATGCATGTGCAGACCGGAGGCCCGTTTTGGCCGGTGCCATTGGGGAGAAGGGACTCGCTGACGGCGAGTGAGCAAGCGGCGAATACAAATCTGCCCTCACCGTTTGAACCGTTGGAGAATATAACGGCCAAGTTCGTGTCCCTTGGACTTGACTTCAAAGATGTTGTTGTCCTCTCAGGTTTGGTTTCAACTTCTAGTATATAACAATATACTAGTGTCGAGTTTTGATAATATATATACTTGTTTTATCCAGCTAGCCCATCTCGTTTAGGTTAACAGTATATCTTATATATTAAAACAGAAGTCATGACTTAATTTCATGTGTGATTTTTTTAAAAATAGACTATTACTAGAAAGTCATGTTACATTAACTCTCTAATAATCTTATCATTATTATATCTTATGAAAAATCATATCTATAATAACAAAGATACGTTTAACAATTTGGTTTTGGTAAATTACCCCACACCTTCCAATTTAGTCACACAAAATATGTTAATAGATATAAGTTTAGGAATCTATTATT